TAAAAAAAAAAAAAAAAAAAAAAAAAAAAAAAAACATTGGTTTTAAATTTTAAAAAAACAATGTTTAAATTTTAAAAAAACAATGTTTAAATTTTAAAAAAAATGTTTAAATTTAAAAAAATTAGATAATGTTCAATTTAAAAAAAACAATTTTTAAATTTTTTTTCCCACATTGGAGACCAGTACAATAACCACTATGCTAAAGAGTAATTATCTTCAACTTACAGGTTATAGCTATATCAACTTATTCAATAATATACTCAATATTAAAGATCCAAAATCAAGAAACACCCTATTCAAATTTAAAAAAAAACAATGTTTAAAATTAAAAAAAAACAATGTTTAAATTTAAAAAAAAAAAAATGTTTTTTTAGTGGTGTAAGATCTGGATTCTTAGCTCAGTGTTTTAAATAAATAATGTTTCAAAAAAAAAACAGTGTTCTTTAATAATATATAGGGAACAGTGTTATGTAATAATTTATGTGGGAACACTGTTTTAAACAGTGTTTCGGAAAAAGGAAATTTATATGGGAACACTTTTTAAAACACATACCAAAGAAAATAAAAACACAAATAAATACTGATACTTAATGTAACACATAAGGTGAGGATGATCACACGAAAGCATTTATTAACTGATTAATTAAAAGGATGGGCAATGAGAGCATAGCGGTAAAAAATTTTTATTATTTTATGGCATTTGAATTAAAATATATTTACTTTTTAAAAAAATCATACATTTGTAAATATTATAACAATAATCAAATCTTAGTTTATATATTTTTAATATGTTTTTGATTTAAAAAAATAAAATAAAATAAAATAAAATAAAATAAAATAAAATAAAATAAAATAAAATAAAATAAAATAAAATAAAATAAAATAAAATAAAATAAAATTTTTTTTTTTAAATTTCCATTAAGTACTTAAGACTGTATAAACACCTTAATATTTATTTATATTTCCATATTTTCACATTGCATTCTTAGTTCTGAAAATGTGGTAGTTCTCAGAGTTGTGGCAGGATGAGTTATTATGAATGGTGAAGTTGAGCTTAAATATAACATTTTTTCTTTGATTGTTGATTCTGGTGTCCATATAATTAAAAATATAGTATTTCCATTAAAATGGGTAATATATCGACAACTACTATTTGGTAAAGTAGAGCACAGTTGGTCAAAATTTGCATCATTTGGTAATTCATATTCGACAAAGATCTTTTTCTCCTTTTTATTTATTTTATAAACTATATAAGAAAAACATTTCTCTTTATATTGCCTATAATATTGATTTGCAGCTGTTTCTGTTTATTAAAATTTTCCCTAAAAGTAAGTAAAAAATAACTAAATATATTATTTTAAAATTTATTTTATACCATCTAAAGTTATTAAATCCTTTTGTAATGAAATTAAAATTTTGTTAAATGTATTAGTAACAAAGAGTTATTTATATATAAAAAATTATTTATTTACCATTATTTTAAAAAGCTATATTAATAAACACACATAAATAAAAAAAAAAAATAAAAAAAATAAAAAAAATAAAAAAATAAAAATAAAAAATAAAAAAATAATAAAACACCCATAAAATACATAAATAAAAAAAAAGGTAAAATAAATAAACACCTTCAATTTTTATTAAATAGTATAATTTTTAAAAATAAAATTGTTTTTTTATTATTTCACTAATTTTTATTATTTAAGGGCAATCATCATACTACCAACCCATTTAGTTTTTTATTTTTTTGTATATAAAAAAAGGGAACATAATAACAGAAGCTCATAACGCATAAATATTTATATATAATATGGGATATTTTTTATAATAAAACCAACTCTATTTTTTTTTTATAAATAAAATTATATTTTAACAATGATTAAACAATGATAAAAATAATTTATTTATTAATATGAACCAATAAATAAAATTTATTATTTTATTTTTTATTTACTTATCTATAACAAATAAATAAATATTTAAAATTTAGTGATACTAAAAATATTTATTTTATTAAAAAATAATTGAAAATTTCATTAACTGTTTTAGTTGTTGCAACTTCTAAAGAAATTGAATTATCTTTAACATAAATAATATTACCCTCTCTTTTGAATGTTTTTATGGAAGTTATTTCTTCATAGTCTTTATCGTCTTCTTGTTGATCTTCACTATTTAAATCACACATTTCTTCATTCTCTTTATTTGGGCAATCGTCCAATGTTTGGTCTTCATAGCACCTATAGTTTGGAATTGATAGTTCTTGTTTTGAATTTTCTTTTCCATAGATAGTTAATTTGTGATATCTTTTATTTATACCATTGACATTATATGAAATGGATGATCCTGTAAATTTATTTCTAATATTGACTCGACTATTACCACCACTTGTATTAACGCTGTTATTATTGTTATTGTTATTGCTATTATAATTTTCGCTATTATTACTAATATCACTGTTATGGGATCTTGTAATAATTTTTTGTATACTTTCAATATTTCCAGTGAAAATTGAATTGTTTGAACTCCAAAAATCGGTTTTATTTTCTTTCATTTTTTGAAGTGATAGATTTGTAAATAGTTGTTGGCTAATTATAGAGTTATTATTATCTTGATCAGTATCATCACCATCTCTACCTTGATAAACTGAATTTATTAAAATATCAATCTCTGGTATTTTTTTAATAGTTGATTGAATAATCGAATTGATTTTTTTAATATTGTTTCTATAACATGACACAACTGTTAATCTTGAAATATCATTTTCATCGATATCTATTTGATCAAATACTTTTCTTCTATATAATGATTCGACTTCATCTTGAGATTGGTTTGATGTGGATATAACTGTTACATTAAAACCTAAAGCCAATAAATCCAATGAAATTTGATACCCATATAATTCATAATTATAATTTTTATATTGAGACCCATTTTCTTCTTCTTCCTCTTCTTCTTCTTCTTCTTCTTCTTCTTCCTCTTCTTCCTCTTCTTCTTCCTCTTCTTCATCATTTTCTTTTTTTAAAAACTGTTTGTCTTGTTCTATATTTTCACATTCTTGTTTATCTTCTTTGCAATCATTATCACCATCATCTTCATCATTATCCTCATCCTCTTCATCATACATATTGCCATCGCCATAACCTTTAATAATAACTACTGCATGGGATTTGTTAAATTTAATCTTTAAATATTCATCTTGATTGTGCAAACATGATTTGCAACAAAATGTGTGATGACCTTTAAATTGTATTGGAGCATTACATATGAAACAATGGTGTCTTATATAAAATCCATAAACTTCAAAACATTTGTAATTTGCTGATGAAAAAGCTGGAGTTTTTAAAATTTTATCGATACTTCTAGAGCAACTGATTAGAGGCGATGCATGCCATTTTCTAATTAACATTTTTGATTGAGGCCAATTAAAAAGAGGTCTAAATTTATAAATCTTTTTTAATCTATTTCTTCTAAAGTTGGTCATTGTACAAGGAGGACAATCGTGACCCTGACCATCTGAAATTTGATAATATCCCAAGCAAAACAGTGGATCTGTTGGTTGACCAAAACCAGCTCTGTAATAGTAATGGTTATTATATGATATATTATTTGGATCAAAATCCCAACGAATTGTTTTAAAACCGACATGACAGCTATCCATTTTATTAACTTCTTTTTGAAAATTAAAGCTCGAAACCAAATTATATCTAGAGTTAAACGAATGAATTGAGTTTTTTGACATATAAACATTTGAGCCGTCGTATATTGGTGCTAAACAATCTAGTTGGTCCAAACAATTCTTTAAAAGCATTTGTTCGAGTGATCCGCACACCTGTAGTTTGATTCTAATTGAGTGATATGGATGTCTATAGTAGACTATGATCGAGTCTTCTGTATGTATATAGTAGTATTCTTTATCTTCTTTTTTAATGCCCATTCTATTTGTTAATTGGGTCAGTATTTGATTTACTCTATCGGATATAATCGATTGGTTTTCGTTGTTAAGGACCTTATTCATTTTATCAATACTTATAAAGTTTTGTTCGGTGTTGCCATCGCTATTTGGTAATTCTTGAATTAATGAAAGCTCGATGTTATGATTATTATAATAATGAGATATTGGACTGTGATATCTTGAATAAACAAGTTGATTAAATAAGGAGCCATCTTCAACAAGAGTCATAATCTTTAAAACTGCAATGCTTGGTAAACTTGACTTTTTTAGTAATCTATTGATATCGATTAGCCATATGTACGCTCTTTTAATTTCCACGGGTAAGTTATCAATACACGAGGTAACAGCAGTACCTGATACCACTACCTTGACACCGTTATATTCCCAATCGAAATCCGAATCAAATATTCTATGAGTGTAAATTGCAAAACATTTTTTAAATATTGATAGTGATGGATTGATTGAATAGTTTCCATTTGATGGGGGCTCGTAGAATAGGTGCGGCCTTATAGTGGTTTGAATTTTATAGTTTGGAACTGGTATTTTAATGAGATCTTCTACCCACTCCTCTCTAATTACAAGCTCAGGTTCGTCGTGATTTGTATCGTCATCGAGTAAATCACCTACATATTCCTCCAAGCCAACTTCAAAAACGCTATTCTTTACTTTTTCATCCATTTCATTTTCTCTATCTATATTGGTCTTATTTACATATACATCATATAATATATCTTCGGTGCTGTCATATTGATTTGATTTAAATATTTCTTTATTGCAGTATAATTCTATTTCTTGATTGGCTGGATCAAAAACCTCCTGATCATAGACTTTGACAATATTGTTCTTTACTTGTCGATACGATTCTTGATTTTTAATATTAAATAAATTATATTGATCATAATAATTGTACCCCCTGAAATCTGAAAGTTCACCGATTATTGCATCTTCGTAATACTCGGTATATGGGTATTCTTGATTTTTTAAATATAATTCTTCTTCTTTGGTATCTTGAGTAAATGTATAGGGTATTGATAATGAATATGATAGCTTTGGGTCTATATAGCAATATTTAAATTGTAACAGCTGTTCTGAAACTATATTATTACGTATTGAAACTATTGAATGATTTAGTCTATCTCTAATATTTGATATTAATTTACTACAATATTTATTTATTTTATTATTTGAGCATTTTTTACAACTATTATTATCCATATTATTATTAGTAGTATTACTATTGCTACCATTATTTATACTATCATTAACTATATTAATGGGATCAATACTATCTATTGAGTTTATTATATTATAAAAATACATTATTTTTTCAGTATACAAAATACCGTCACCAAAATTATTTGTTTCGTTTTCTGTACCCAATAAACTAAGAACCAGTATAAAAATGTGTCTAACGTTTAAACTATTATTTTTGTTATTGTTTTTATTATTAAATTGTTGAATAAAGTTTAAATATGAAAATAAATATATAAATAAAAATTGCTCGTATTGGCTTAAATGTAAACTTGGCAAACTATTAATAGACTCTATGAACTGATATATTTCTTGTTTTTCAATATATTTGAAATAATTTAAAAATTTTAAATTTGAATCAATATCAATTGTTTGGGTTGTTACTATATTTGATTTTTTTTCTATTTTGGTTTCTTCACCGGGTTTCGTTATTATTGTTTTAGTTTTTATTATTGTTGTTGTTGTTGTAACTGGTGATTCTAATAATAATCTATTTAATTTTTTATACTCTTTAAATAAAAATTTTGAAAAGTTATATTCTTTGATATTTTCAGTATTATTATCAGTATTATTAATATTATTATTGTTATTATTATTACTATTATTAAGGTGATTAGTATTATTATTAATTTCATTTAATAAAATTATAAACTCTTTATCTTCTTTACTTAAAATTACATTAACACCATTATTTCTTCTACTACCACTGTTAATAATACCAATATTATCACTATTTATTCCAATCTTATTATCCTTGCCAATGTTGTCGATATCTTGATTTGTATTACTTTTTTCACCAAATTTTCTTTTATTACTACTATTATTACTATTGCTATTTTGGTCAATAGTACCACTACTTTTTCTTTTTAATGATTTAGTATTGCCTCCAATACTTTTATTACTATTATCGTTTTTATTATTATTAATACTATTATTGTTATCATTAATACTATTGCTATTCTTAGTATTGTTATTTTCATTATCACTATTATCAATGTCATTAATATAAAAACTATTTATATCTAAGTTTGGATGAGTTGTTAATAATTGTTTATTAAATAAAAAATCAAGTTTTTTTGAACTATTTCTATTTTTTGTTAAAATTTTAAAATCTACAATTATTGGCAGGTTATTGATTCTACTAACTGAAACTATTTTGATTATTAAACCTTCCTCCATACTTTTTTCACTATAAAGTTTATATAAATATTTTGAATCGGTTACAGTTATAACATTTAAATCCCCTACCTGAATGCTATTTTTAAAAAAAATAAAATAAATATAATATTCGATAAATAGATATATAAATAGGAAACAAACCTATACATACTATTTTTTAGTTGATATAAAGCATTCTATAACTTGTAACACTATATTATAGTTTTCGATATTCCTTATATTTTCATCTTTGGGTTCACATTTAATAAATAATGGTGATAATCTATTGATCTGATTATGAAATAGTTTTATATTATCTTGATTTGTCATAATAACCCAATTATTATTCTAAATACGACCCTGTATGTCGCTAATAATAAATGAGTGTATAGATGATTTACAAAAAAATTTTAAAAATTTAAAAAAAAAAAAAAAAAAAAATTTTGATTAAAGAAAAAAAAAAGTATTGGCGCGGTGTATCCAAAATCTCATTTTCTTTGTTTTTTTGAAAAAATCTTTAATTTCCAAAAAAAATATAAAAAAAAGTAATATTGGGGATTTTTTTTATTTTGCCGTAACAAAATTCCTGCGCAAACTTAACCGATTTACAATATTTTTAAAATTTATCATCTAAAATAAAAAGTTAAAAAAAAAAAACATCATCAATAAATATATTTTTAATTAATCTATTATTTATTTTATTGAACTTACCTATCACTAATATTACTACTGTTAAAAAAAAAGAATAAAATTATTTTATAAATTTTTTTCAAAAAAACAAATCTATTTAAAAAACCTTTAGACATATCGAATAAATTTAATTTTTTAGAAAAAAATGTTTATCGAATTTCCATTTTAATAAAAAATATTTCTTGTGATAAGAATCTAAAAAAAAAACTTTATCTTTTTTATGGTCTAAATTTATAATAAAGAAAGATGTAAATTTTGATTTTGATTTTCATCATCATTATCTTCAGATGATGCATATTGATCCATTTGATCTTGATTTAAAAGGGGTAGTTATTTTCTTGATTTAAAAGGGAGTGGTTATTTTCTTGATTGTTTTCATCAGCTTGATGATTTTCTTCTTGTTGTTGGTTTTTTTCTTCTTTTTGTTCATCGGCTTGATTACTTTCTTCTTTTGTTTCATTTACTGGTGAATATGGATCCTGATAACACTTATAATTGTAATTAAATTCATCATCACTATCTATAGGATGATGTTCAAGAGTCAAACCGAATACTATTGACCCCTTTAAAAAACTAATTAAAAATGTCATTTTATTATAATAATAAACATATAATTTAAGTGATTCATATATATCTAATGGTAACTATAATCAATATTCAATAATTAACGCTATTTTAAATTATTTATAAATATAGATAAAAAAAAAATAAAACCCATAAATAAATCAATAAGTGTATAAATAAATAAATAAATAATTATAATTTTATTTAACTACCAAATTATCCTACAATCTTAACCTCTACTTTAATTATTATTATTATTATTATTATTGTTGTTTTTGTTTTATTTAATTTGTTTGTAAATTAATTACAGCTCTTGGTACTAAATCCATTTCTTTTAAAGTTTTAAACATTAAATCACCAGATAGCTCAACTCTTGGGAAAGAAGTTACAAGCTTAAAATCTTGAATACCAGTTTTAACTTTGACAAAATAATAAACACTTTGAATTTTATCAGTTGAATGGAAGCTTCCTTTTAATATTTCACCAGGGCATCTAATTTGAATTGAAACATCACCCTCGGTACCAACCTTACTATTAATCTCTTGTGTTTGGTGAACCTTTTCTTTTATTTCTTCTTTAAATTGTTTCTCTCCATTGTTACTGGCTGCGAGACCACCACCATAATAGTAATTGTCATCATAGTTATCGATATCATCTTCGAAATAATCATCCTCATCTTCTTCCTGGTCATATTCTTGGTCATCCTCCTGGTCATCTTCTTGATCATTTTGGTTATCACTATTTTGCATGTCTCTCTTTAACTTTTCTTGTTTCTCTTTTTCAAGTCTTTCCCTTTGTCTTTTTCTTTCTTTTTCCAATTCTTCTTGAATCTTCTTTTCTTTTTCTGCCTTTTCAATTTCTTCTGGTGACATTGGTGTTGGTGGTGATGGTGGTTTTTCATGTTGCAGTGACAATTGAATTGCCATTTCTAACTCTTCCTCCTCTGTGTTATGTTTCTTTTTCTTACTTTTGGTGACCATTGGTTCAACTTTACCAGTCCATGAATTTGAAACGAAAAATTGGTGTAGATATTCGATCATCTCTTCTGCATCAATGAAACCATGAATATCTGCTAATTTTTGGCCAGTTCTTGGATCAATTATTGCAATGTATGGATATTGTGTAACTGGATAAACTTGTGTAAAATAAATACCTTCACCAGATTGCTTATTAACCTGCCAAAAGATCATACTATCTTTAATCAATTGTTTTAAATCTTTATTTGACCATGTATCCCTATTTAATTTTTGACAATCAAACTCTGAAACATCTTGAATATTAACTAATAAGAAAAGTTCTTTTTCTTCTGCAAACTTTTTAATTTCATCAAATGTACCAAATGATAAAATATCTAATGGTGGTTTAAATAACTCTGCAAGTGTTTTTTGTTTATCAGTTAATTTATTTTGATCTATTAAAAAAAATAAAAAAATAAAAAAATAATTAATACATTTTTTAAAATTAAAATAAAATAAAAAATTAATTATAAAAATACTTACTTAAATTTCTTTCTTTTTCGAAATCTCTAAATGCTTCAAAAACATTACCTGGTTTTTGATATCTTCTAGTTTGTTGTGGAATATGATCAACAAGTCTATCCATCATTTGTGGAATTGGTGCCCTTACGTCATCTTCCATATAATCCTGATAGCCACTTGGTATTGATTCTGATGATGATTTATTTGTAGAAGATGATGACCCTGATGCCCCACCATCATTCATTGAAAAAAAGAAATTTACACTATTTTCTATATTCCAATTATTTTGCTATTGAAAAAAAAAAAACATGGTATTAATAAAAAGAAAAATTGAATATTGGTTTACATTTATATGTATAAACTCACCTCTAATATTTGAAGTGCTAAACCTTCATCCTCGCATCCTGTAATTGATAAAAAATTTGCTACTGTATCAGGATCCATTATTTATTATTATTATTATTTATAAAAGTAAACAAAAAAAAAGTTATATGTGTTGCTAAATTATGTGTGTGTGTTTGGGTGTAAAATGTATATATAATTTTATATTAAATTTGTTGAAGCACGATATGAGAAAAAATTTAAAATTTTTGTTTTTTTTTTTTTTATAATTTTTTTTTTTTTTTTTATAATTTTTTTTTTTATTTTTTTATTTTTTAACAAATTAAAAAAAAAAAAAAAAAAAAGTTTTGTTTTAGTTTTTAGAACATTCTGTGAATATAAATATAATTTTATTTGTTTGTTTATTCCTCCAAAAAAAAATATAAAATATAAATAACATGATTAAAAATTCTCATTTTTTTAATTATTATTATTTATAATAAAATTATATAAAAGAAAAAAAAAATACCACACAATATTTATAAATTTATTTTTAAAATAATTATAAAAGGGTTGAATTTTTTTTAAAAAAAAAAAATATGAAATTCATCATTTTTGATTAGGTAATCCAAAAATGGTATTGATTGCTCATCCAGTTGCAATTTTCGCTATCATTTGGTGAAATTATAATAAACAAGATATTTGAAAAAAAAAAAAAAAAAATCAAAATTATAAATTGTTTTTTTTTTGATTTTTTTTTTTTTTTTTTACGAATAAATTTGAATTTTTTTTTTTTTTTTTTTTTTTAAATTTATTATTTTGAATATAATATAATTATATACAATAATCATATAACAAATAATGGAAAGTTTAAAATCAATTAATAATTTAAACGATTTATATAATCAAGTTGTTGTTGAAAGAAATCCAGTTATTATCGGTACAGCCATTTTTGGTTTAGTTTTTACCATTTTCATTTTAATTAAAATCAGATTAATGAGATGCATTAAATTAGATACCAAAGTTTTACACGAATGTACTAAAAAAGGTGTTGGATTACCAATTGATCAAGCTTTCGAAGTTATTCACAAAGAATTAATCAAACATTACCCACAATTCATTGCTGCTAAACGTAATTGGTTATTATTTAATGGTGGTGGTGCTATGGGTCAAATGTGTGTTTTACATGCTTCATTAAGTGAATATTTAATCTTTTATGGTACCCCATTATACAGTCAAGGTCACAGTGGTCGTTATTTAATGGATGTCTACGATTTCATGATTCAAGGTGAAACTAAACAATTCTTCCCAGGTTACTTCAAACCAATTAATTTCCCAGCTGGTCAATACTCTTATCTTCCAATGATGGTTGCTAAAGGTTATTGTTGCGAACGTGAAAGTTACATGTTAGAATATGGTCGTGGTATTATCCCATTAGCTTTACCATACTTTTTATGCTCATCAATTTTTGTCACTTTAGATATTATCCCATGGTTACAAGCCGTTTACTTTGTTGGTTGGGAAGTTACTAAAAATTTACTCTTCAGAAGAAAGATTTAAATTAAACAAACAAACAAATAAATAAATAAATAAAAAAAAAGAGAAAATAGATTTCGATCAAAAAGAAAATTTTTTTTTTGATTCACCTAAATTTATTTTTTTTTCTTTTAGAAAACGATATAATATCGTTGTATTTATAAAGTTTATTATTATATAGTTATTTTATTTCTATATTTTATTTTATTTTTTTTTATTTAAAATTTTTTTTTTTATTTCTAAATTTTTAATATCTTGATCTTAATTTATTTGTTACATTACATCTATCACCTGTGCCTCTTGGATTACCATTTTCATCTAAATCTAAAGCTAATTTAATGTCAATTTCTCTCCATTTTTCGTCGGTATTTACAAATGAGATATCTTGATTCTTTTCTTTTCCACCCTCTAATTTAACATAACACCATCTATTGCAAACTTCGATATCTAATGGATCATTTGACCATTTGGCATGTTCAAATAATAAAGATGCCATATAAGTTTGAGATAATAAATAGGCAAAACGACGAGCATTTGATTCGGCATATTCCATATCACCATTCATAACTTTGTCGATAACTGAACGAATAACAGCAATTGAGTCATTGATGGATTTGGTAGCCTTGTTAAAGAGTGGTAATAGGTTTTGGTTAACACCAGAGGTATTTGATACACGATCTTGAATTGATTTAAAGAAGCATTCGATGGTTTTGGTGTTTTTAAGTGATCTCCATACATCCATTGATAAAACATTGGTAGTACCTTCCCAAATGGATGTAACTTGTGTATCTCTGAAAAGACGTGGCATATCAGAATCCTCCATATAACCAGTACCACCTAAAAGTTCGATACCCTCTGATGATACCCAAATACTTTGCTTGGCAGTGTAGAGCTTAGAGAGTGGTGTGAGAATTCTTAAGAGTGAGTCAGTTTCTGGGGTGGCACAACATTCGGATTTACCTAAGAGTAAACTAACATCCAAAAGGAAATGTAAACCAGCTCTAAATTCCAATTCCATTTCAGCTAGTGTTGAAAGATAAAGAAGGTTATCTTTAAGGAGTTTGCCGAAAACAGTTCTACGATGAGCAAAGTCTCTGCCAATGGCAATACATCTACGCATTGTAGAGACAGAATGGATTACATTATGAATTCTAGTAATGTTTAAAATAGATGCAATAACTGGAACACCTCTTCCTTTTGGACCAATTCTAACGGCTGGAGTACCCATAAGTTCGAGTTCGGCTGTTGGTACAGCTTTGGTACCAAATTTATTCTTGAGTTTGTGTACTCTAATTCTATCGAGTTCACCATTTGGTGTTCTTAATTTAATGAGATAGACAGATAAGCCTCTTGATCCACTAACACCTCCATTGCCATCTTTGTCGACATCTCTAGCTAAAATCATTGACGAGTCTGATGTTGTGGCTGATGTAAAATATTTATAACCACTAACTTTGTGTGTTGGGGGAGTTGATAATAGTTTTGGGTATTCAGATGGATTGGTTAATTCTTGTGCAATAGTTTCTGAGCCGCTAACATCTGATCCTCCAGTTTTTTCAGTCATCCATTGACCACTAGTCCAAAATTGGCTTGGATCTCTTGTAATAAAATGTTGTAATTCATCTTTCTTCATAGAGTCGGTACCATGGAGTTCTAATAATCTGGCGCCACCATCAGTCATTGATAATGGACAATCAAATACGGCACTTGAACATGCAAATAAATAAATTTTAATGTATTGATAGATTCTTGAAAACTCTTTATATTTTCTTTCATAACCAATCGATACTAAACCTTCTTTGCATCCTATATCTTTTAATTTATTCCATGATTCATCTACAACAATTTTATCAATACGTCTATAAAATCAAAAAAAAAAAAAAATTTAGTAATTTGATGTGAAAAGATATTTATTTAAAATTAATTATTTATTTACCTTCCCCAAGCATCTAATTGAAGTAATTTTGGTGGATTGTTTTCAGAGGCTCTACCAAGTTCTAAAATATCATTGACTACTCTATCACCAAATTGGGTTAAATCTGGTTTAATTTCGTTTAAAACTTCGAGAGGTAAAACTCTTTTTAATGCCTTTAACAACTCGGTATCTTCAAGAAATTGATTACCAAGCAATGGTGATTGTTGTTGAAAATATTCTCTGTTGGTGAAACCTGTTTGTTTAAATGATTTTGTAATATTATCCATTTTATTTTTTTTATAATAATATTAAAATTATTTATAATTATTATAAAAAACTTATTTATTATAAAAAAAATATTTTTTTTTGTTGTGTTATTAAAAAGAAACAGAAATTTAAAAAAAATAATTAAAAAAAAAAAATAAAAAAAAAAAATAAAAAATAATTAAATTATTTTTTTTATTTTTTGTAATTTTTTTTCCAATACCAATATCGTCATATCCGATCAAATATGTATAAATTTATTATAGAGCGATATTTTCTTTTAATAATACCAGTAAAGGCACATTAAATTTCGAAATAAAAAAAAAATTATTAATAAAAGTCAATCTAATATAAAAAAAAGTAATACAATCTTATAAAGAATTGGTATTTACTAATAAAGCGTATCTTTGATTGCAATCATTAATATAATTAACTTACTTTTGAATTAAAAATTAAATTAAATTAATTTTTAACCTTAATTATACAAATAATAATAAAAATAATTTTTTGAAATAAATAATAGTTTATTATTATAATTTACTTGTGTTTTTTTACTATTTATTAATTTTTTATTTTAATTAATTTTTTTTGTTTTTTTTTAATTATTTTTTTTTTTTTTTGTGTGTTTGAGTGTTTGAATATTTATATGTATGTTCAAATTAATTTTTTATTTTTTTATTTTATTTAATTTTCAAATTTAACATTATTTCAAATTAATTATTTCTTCATATTCTCATAAATAATATATATAATAAAAAAAAAAAGTAAATCTTAATAATTATAATTTATAGAAATTATAATAATAATTATATTAATTTTTTTTCTTTTATTTTTTTTATAACAAATATAGATGGCTACTAACCATGGTAATAGTATTTGCGGTTTAAGAGATTGTGTACCAATTTTAAAAGGAATTGCATTGGTCACCACCAGTCTATATGCAGGATCATCATTATATATCTCAATGTGTGAACATCCATCTCGTATGCTTTTACCTAATGAGTTTGCATTAAAACAATGGAAAAACTCAATACAAGGTGCCAAAAAACTTCAATGCGGTTTGGTTGCTCTAGCCAGTGCTTCATCTCTCTTAACATTTGGTTCAATTGCTAATGCAATCTGCCATGCTACTGCCACTACTTCAAACGCCATAAGTGATTCAGTTCGTCATTGCTGCCACTGTAAAGGTACAACATGGTTAGCCAGCGGTCTTTTAATGGCTTCAATAGTTCCAATTTCAAAATTATGTATGGAACCAATTTGTAAACAATTAAATTCAAATACAATTGATACATTTGATGATTCCACTCGTCAACTTTTAAACAAATGGGGTAAATGTAATTGGGTTAAAACCCTCATCAGTTTAGGTGCTGTTTCATTATTATACTGTAAACTTTTCAGACACTCACACATTTTCTTAACCACCAAATAATAATATTTCCAAAAACCACTTTGAAAAAAAAAAAAAAATAATCTTTAAATAAAGTTATAATTAATTTTAAAACAAATAATTTTTTTTTTTTTTTTTTTTTTTTCGAAAATTGGGTAAAAAATGAAAAGAATAGCTTGGGAGAAACTATATTTTTTTTTTTGTAATTAAATTAGATTTTAAAACTAATTAATTTTTTAAAATATTATTTTATTAAGTTTCTTTTTATTATTGTTTTTTTTTTTTTTTTAAATTATAATTTATAATTTTCTAAAAAAAATATATTTAATAATAATGTTTAATTTGAATAAATAAATTTGAGAAAAAGAGTTATTATTTATTATTATTATTATTATTATTATTACTTTTTATTCAGTTGGTAATAATTGATAGTTATTTTTCTTTCTTTTTTCTTCTCTAAATAATTTTAATATAGCGAAGATTATTAAAAATGCGTCAACTAGTGCAATAGAGGCTTGGCTTAATAATATTTTTTTGAAACCATATGTTGTATATTGACATTGAATTTTGATATATTCCCCACAAAATATTTGACCAAATAATGGTATGCATGATGAAACTAAAATCTCTGGTTCTGAACAATATTTTAAATCTTGAATGATACTTTTCTTTGTTATAACTAATAAAGTAATTTCTAATAATGTAAATATTAATGAAGCTATAATAGATAAAAAACCCTATATGCAAATAAAAAGAAATGAGAGGTTAATAACAAACCTATCGGTATAAACTTATAAATATTATATTGATATTTACAATTTTAATGAACCTAAAATTATTTGCAAATGATGACATTGATATAAAAATACAAGTTAAAGTTGAAAATACAGCACCACCCCATAAAACGGGTATTCTCCAATCGTAAACTGTGTCATATGTGAAAAATATAAGTAGTCCCTGTGTGAAGAAACCAAAGGCAACTAATTGAACCACTAATAAAAATGAAAAAGTCCAATTTGAGTATAAAAATGTTGTTCCAGAGTATCCTTTTATTTTAAAATTGTTATCAACCTGGTGGAATTGATGCTGTCTAATAACATTATCTTCATTATCGTATCTATTATTTATATTCATTTATTATTTAAATTTCTGATATTGTTATTTCTATTTATATAGTTATTTCTATTTATAGTTATTATTATTTATTATTATTATCTATTTAAAGTCTATTTAAAAAAAAAGAACTCTTAATTAATACATATATATTTATAATTTTAGTTATTTAATTAAACATGTATTATATTTTGTAAATATTATTTATCTATTTATTTATTTATTTGTTTATTTATTTATTTATTATTATTTTGTAAACAAATAAATAAAATTTATGCAATAATAGTTTATAAAAATAAAGATTAAAGATTACTATGATATAAACAAAAAAAAAAAAAATTTAATGTTTCACAAAGTGCATTATTTAAACCACACTATAAATAATAAAAAAAATAATTTTAAAATAATAAAAAAAAAAAAATAAAAAAATAAAACCTATATATACAAACACACAGTTATAAAAAATAAATTAAGATAAAAAAAAAAATATATTTTTTTTTTTTTTTTCTTTCATACTAAGTTATTTTAACCACGCAAACACACCCACACACAATTTTTAAAAATTTAACACCCTTCTACACAATAAATAAATAAATAATTAATTTATTACCTTTTTATTATATTAATTATATTTCTTTTTGGTTATAGTATAGATACACAAACTAAAATTATTGTATATATATATATTAATTGTGATATACAAAAATCAGACCTATAAATAATATTATTTCTTTGATGATAATAAAAAAAAGTAATATAAAAAAAAAAATAAAATTTTTTTATATTATAAAACATGTTTATAATGTTAAAAAAAAATTTTTTTTTAAATTTAAAAAAATAAAAAAAAATAGTTTTTAGATTTTTTTTTTAAAATTTTGGGTTACTGTTGAAAATAAGTATGGTTATCAATAAAAATTATGTGTGGTGAGTTTTTTAAATGTAGTGGTTGTATGTCAGATTGACATCAAGATCTATTTTTAATGAAATCAACAAAATGTAAAATAATAAATTTTTTTTTTTTTTTCTAAATCCCTAACTTTTATTTATATGTATATTTTATTTATTTGGTTTATAATTATTATCTATTAAATCCTTAATTTAAGTAAAGTATTTATTTGATCATTTGATAAGTTGTAAATTTGATATTTTTGTAATAATTCTTCTTCAAGATTTACCTTTAGTTTATTTGTAAAATCATCCTTGAATTGATTAAATTCTTGATTGCTTAATCTTAATAAAATGGTTGATTCAATGATTCTAAAATTTAAATAGGAATTATTAGTAAATAATAATAATAATATTAAAGTAATAATTATTTAAATATACTTTTTCATATAGTTTTCAGGTGAATTTGAAAATGAATTAAAAATTAATAATAAGGTTTTGATATCTTTTGAAAATTGTTTACCATCATTTTCGGTGAATTTTGGTTGATAGTTTAATAATAAATCGAATAAATATTTGTCAATCTTGATTAATAATCTTTTCCAAACTGATGGTTGTTTAGTTGGTGTTAAAGATCTATAAATTATACCTAGTTGATATCTTAATGATGAAAGTCCATTTGAAATTTCATTGGAAACATCAAATTGTGCGTAATCTTCACTATTTATAATTCTATTATTATTATTATTATTGGTATTATTGGTATTGTTGCTGTCTTTTTTATCTTGTTTATTATCTGATTTATCATTATCTTTTTCGTCATTATTATTTTTATTCTCATCTTCATTATTTTCTTGATTATTTTGTTGGTTTGATGGTTGGTCATTAAATAGTTTCGATTTTTGTTTATTGAAATTTGAAAAGCTAAATATATTTTTCGAATAGGAGGAGATACTGCTGCCACTGCCACTGGTACCTGATATAATTTGATTTGAAAAAGTGCCTCTTTTTAAATAGCTACCAATTTTCGAAATGAAATTTATAAACAAATCTTTAACAAGTTTCTTTTTTAAAGATTTTAATAATTGTTTGTAATCTGAAATCATGACAGAGAATGCAGAGTAGTCTTCATCTTCTTTATTTGCTAAGCTATTTGAAAGGGTGGAGTAATTTTCATCGTTGAGAAGTGAGCTTTGGTTTTTATTCATATATTCGTAAATTTCAATAAATATTAATTCGTTATCCCAATCTTGTAACACCTTGATAATGTAATTTAAACTATTGAAAAGGTAGCAGAGCTCTTTGAGATTTTGATCGCCGTCGCTTAAGAGAATCGAGATTACTGTCTTTAGTTCATTTTTGTAACGTAATAGTAAGTTGATTTGAATTTTAATAAAGAATTCAAACTGTGAATTTACATCAGTCAAAAGTTGATAACGTTCGGTGAGTGATGCTAGAATACTTATTAGTTCGTATGCAGAGTTGGTTGGTTTTAGTTGATCTAAATCTGGGAATTCATCACGATAGTAGAGTTGGAATCTCTCTTCATTGTTATAAAGTGCTTGGAAATGTTGATCACAATTTTCAATCTCTAGTTCTAACCAGCTATTAAAAATTTCTTTTTCTTGAAATATTGAAAATGGTACAGGTATTTTGTCAACATCATTAATAAGACCCATTTCAATGCCACCTTTAACATTACCAAATTCGATAGAGTTTGGATAGGCATACTCTTCCAATAAGAATCTTTGAAGATCTACGATTTGCTCCATTGTGTGATAAAAGTATCGTTTGTAATGGTCTGGTCTTTGTAAGAATAATTTGATCTCGCTTCTGAATTTGTTTTTAACAGTCTCTACCAATCCAGATATAAACCATTGATGTACATCGATATAATAAACATTGTTATTCTCTAACTCATCTTGAAGGAGGCATAGATATTTTGAATATTCTCTAATAATCTTTTTGATATAATGAATGGCCCACTCTGGTTTCTCTATAAAATTAGTAACCCTATCGCTTTGGAAATGATATTTAAATCCTCTAACAATTGGTAATAGTATTATATTGATTGCCCATAATTTTGTATAGTCATTATTAGTTTTTTCTTGTTTTTTATTTTTATTTTCATCTTGGTTTGGCGATGATGTTATTGTTGCTTGTTCTTCATTATTTTCATTATTGTTAATATTTTCATTTATTTCCGTATTGTTAATATTTTCATTGGTGTTGTTAATATTGGCTTCATTATTATTATTATTTATGCTATTACTATCATTATTTAGTTGATCTTTTTCATCATTGTTTTTAATTTTTGAATTATATTTTTGAACAGCTAGTTGTAATAAAATTAAATTGGTAAAATTTTTAATAAAGTTATTACGAGTTTTTAATTTGTTGTTGAGGATTTCTTGTTGCTGTTGATCTTTTTCATTATTAATTTGCTTTATAAGCTCTTCATTTGATTCGATAGCTGTGCTAGAGGTGCTAGTTGAGGAACTGCCAATTGCCGAGTTTGTTAAGCTTAGCCAGTTTATATCCTTTAGTGATTGATTTAAAGCCTGCTTCATTTTTTTTTCCAATATTGATAATGTATCACCTACTACATGATCTACAACTTTGGTTAGGTGTGGGAATATTTGATCAGTAATTTCATATTCGTTATTAATTAATTTTGGGCCGCTTGGTACCTTTAAATTATTTAAATTGTTTTGTAATTCTATTAAGTTTATAAATGGTTTGAGTGATAATGATAATAAATCATTTTTGATACAAAATTTAACTTTGGTGCTGTTAATAATAATAAAAAAGTATTAGTATCGTATGGAATTATGTTATATTTCAATGATTAATAACCTACTAAAAACTATTTATTATTAATAAAATTTGAAAATATTTTTTAATTCTAGTTAATTGGTTAATTAATTTTGTATATTTTATTAAATTGTCGATTGATGTTTGTTGAAATTGTTTTTCTAAATCACTTGATACCACTTTTCTTTTATCTGATAAATCCACTAGCTGATTCATGCTCATCGAGCTTTCGTTGAAAAGTTTGTTTAATGATAGTTTATTATTTAATCTTTCAATCTTTTTTTTTTAAATAATAATAGGAATTAGTATATACGATATTTATATAACTATAGTTTAAATGTTTTGTGCTTACCAAATTAATTATAATTTCTTTTTCTTTTTTTAGTTGTTCCTTTAATGCTTCTGTATTTTTTAAATACGATTCATTATAAAAATTTTCGTCTAAATATGAACATATTTGAATTGGTTCAATTTGAATGTTTTTTCCATTCTCTTCAGATATATATTTTTCTAATAGCGAACTAAAATATGAGCTATTGTTGGTTTTATCTTCCATCATCAACTTGAATAAAAAATAAAAATTAAAAAAATAAAAATTTAAAAAAAAAAAAAAAATATATATTTTTTTTAATTTTTTTTTTTTTTTTTAAATTATTTAAATATTAATTTCATTTTAATTTCAATTATTTTAATACGTTATATTCCTAAATACAATTAAATCAACGCCATAATTATATTGTAGTATATTACTCAAATTTAAAACAACAAATAACAGTAATCAACAAAACAAATTTAATTTAATTTAATTTTTTTTTTTTTAAATTTAATTTTAATATTAATGTGTTTATCATATTCATATTTTTTTCATTATTTCGGGCATTATAATGCGCTAATGGGCATTATTTTTAAATCACATCGAGTTTTTAGATGGGGTAAATGAAAGTGTGTTGGGGTAAATACAAAAATTGGTAAAAAAAAAAAAAAAGAAAGGAAAAAATGATAAAAACATTTTTATTTATTTATTCTTTTATTTTTTATTTTTTATTCAACATATTTAATATCAAGATTTCTTTTATTTTCATAGTATTTTAAAAGATTATAGAAAATATGAAAATTAAAAACTATTTACTTTTAGTTCTGTATTTGGTGACAATAGTCCATTCAGGTATGTAAATTTAATATTTAAATTTAATATTTAAAATTAATATTTAAAATAAACTAAATCTTTTTTTTTTTCTTTATTTTAAAAAAAAATAGATAATATCTTTATATTTGATACCACAAATGATCATAATCCTGATTTTGATATGGATGCAATACCAGATGGGGCAATCTATCAAGGTTTTGATGTTACAGAGAATTATTATGATGATCTTTCACCACACAATCTTTTATATAGTTTTGGTAACCAACCTTTAATAAGCCAGTTTGGGGGTTCTCATATAATTGTTAATAGTGATACAACATTTGACCTATGGACCTATCTAAATTGTCCCAATGTATCTTTTAATGTCCTTCCTTATTTATTAGGTAGTTATCCGCCTGATCAATTTTTTCCATTCGATGGTAGGGGTTTTGGTAATGAAGGGGATAATCACAATTATAAATGGTCAGTAAAAGATATTGATAAAAATAATTTAAATTATATTAAAACTTAGTTTATATTTTATAGGTGCATTTGGTTTAGATACGAAAAGGTTCAAGCACGATTTTTAGAACCCGGTATAGTTTCAATAGTCCATTCAGATGATCTAATTGTATATGTAGATAATAAAAAGGTTGTAGAAACAATTGGTATAACCGACGTACAGTATGATGAATTCTTAATAGATCAACCCGATCCATGGAATACCCATACTCTAGATATTATTAATTGTAATAGAAAGAGAAGAGATAATTTTCATATGTTTGAGTATGTATAATTATAGTTTTTTTTAAATTTTAATTTTATTAATTTTATTTAAAATTTTATATAGGGTTAAAACAACAGTAGTTTTAAAGTGTGTCTATTTTGACCAGTAAGTTTTGTTTTTATTTTTTTGATTTAATTATGATAAAATAAAATACTAACTATAATCAATATTAAAGGTGTGGTATTTGTGACGGAAATAACGACTGTGCATGTAAAATGGGTTATAACTGTTTTGAAGATGAAAATAGTTGTATTGCAGATTATTGCTATGATGAATTTAATTGTGAACCAAGGGATTTTAATTGTTCAGAAACATACCCTGATGTATGCAAGAATCAATTCTGTACCACTGGTTTAGGTTGTGAATCTTTTCCTGTAGACTGCAATGATAATAATCCATGTACAAGTGACTCATGCTCATCGAGTGTTGGCTGTATTAACCAGGATATTCCAAACTGTGCTCGATGTAGTGATACAAACTCATGTGTAACAATTGATCCATGTATACCTGTCGAGTGTCATGCTGAAAACCCTGATGTTTGTGTTATGACTCCTATAAACTGTTCTACAAGTGATCCATGTTTATTGGGTCATTGTGAAAATGGTGTTTGTTTAACAGTAGCCATCTGTACAGATCCACCAGAGCCATCATCAGATTCAGGTGAAACCACCGAATATATCTCAACAACACTAGCTTCTACCATTTACTCTACAATTATCTCAACAATTACATCAACACTACAGACTACAATTTATACAAGCAACCCTTCGACAATAGCAACAACTTCAGTTACAACAACTGACTCTGCTTTACCAACCATTACTGGGTCATCAATATCATCTACTGTAATTTCATCAATTATCTCATCCACTTTATCAGCAAGTTCAACTACATCCTCATCCATAACATCTGAACCAATTATATCAACTAAATGTGACCATGATTCATGCTTAAAAGGCTATAAATGTATTCAATTAAAACATTCATTCACATGTGTATCTAAACATTTCTATGATAAATGCGAAGTTAATCGATTACCCTTATATTAATATTAATAAAATAAAATTATGTGACTTTTATTAATTTTAGTAATTATTTGATTTAGGTTAAATATAAAATTAAAGTAAATAAGTAAAAACACAAAATTGCTATTCTTTTTTTCTATTAAAAGATTGAGTGGTTTGTTTTTGTTAATGACTTTTGTTAGCATTGATTGGTTTCTGGTGCATATTTGGTTCTTGCAGAAAGATGTAAACTCAATAATTTCTTTTTCATTAAATTTTTGATTGTAGAATTTAGATTTTCATTGTTTATAAAGTTAATGTTACATGTTTGTTTAAGATTATAATCTTATATTAAAAAAGTTTTTTTTTTTTGATTTTTCTGATTCACCATAACAATTTTATACCCAGTTTGCCATTATATACCTTGTGAATCTTTGACGATGTCATTATGGATTAAATTGTTTAATAAATTTTTATGAATAATAGTAGCAACACCCGACTGTGCTTTTAGTGATAATTCTTTATTTTCAAATTTATTTAATAGATAATTCATCATTATTTAATGAATTTCTAGATTTAGTAGTTAGTGCTGTTATATCATTTTTATAAATATTGTCAATTGAAGAAAAGATAGTAAAATCAGTTTTTTCAAATAAATTATTTAAATTTTTAATTTCATCAAGAATGAATAATTTAGTTTCTTGTAAACATACAATTTTTATATTCTTTTTTATAGAAAATTTAGTAATATTTTATTTTAGAGGTGAAATCACCATTAATGTTAAAAGACAATATATTTAAATTTTTAAAATTAATATTTATTTTATTTATTTTTTGGGTATTTAATATAGCAAAATGAGCATCGTGAACAGTATTATTATTATGCATCTGGATTTAATCATTTTAAATCTTTGAGTTCGTGTTTTGATTTTTTGAATATTTTAATTTACTAAAAAAATTCGATTTTTTTAGTAAATTAAAATATTCAGCTATTGTTTCTGATATTTTATTGTTGGTGTATGTTGAACATTTTACTATATGTAGAAAATCTTCAATATCGGTGTAGTTGCATATTATGTTGGCTCTAAATACTAACTGAGGTGTGATTGGATTTGAATAATTAAGTTTTTTAATAAATGTGAGCATTTGTTTTCGAATGATTTATTTATTTCAATGGTAGGTAAAGTGGTAGGTAGAGTGATAGGTATTGTTGCGGGGTTGGTACTATTGGTAGGAACTAATGAAATTGCAGATATAATTTCATCATTTAGTTTAATGGAACCAATATGGGATAACCATAAATCAAGTTTTAAATATTTACTAGGGTCAATTGTTTTGTTGCAAATTGAGAATTTGTTAAGTAGAACATGTTGGTCTGCAGTGTAGATGATTGATTCAATATTGATTGTACATTCATCTAGGTTAATGGTGTTTGACTTTAATGGACCAAGATTTAAATGTGTTGATCTTAAAGTAAAATGGCGGTTGTTGCTTTTTGTGGAGAATGTGTCACAATTAGAGTTGGGGATTATAGTTATGATTTTGTTGAACAGTGGTAGTATTAGGTCCATATTATTGTGTTGAGGTGTTGATACTCCATATGATAATTGGAAAATGTGTCGCAGTTAGAGTTGGGAATTATTGTAGTGATTATGTTAAACAATGGTAATATTAAATCCATATTATTGTGTTGGGGTGTTGATACACCATATGATAATTGGAATTCTTTATTTGGAATTGTTACTGGTTTAATTATAAAAAAAAAAAACCTTTAATACATTACTTTAATTGTAATTTTATTAAATAATATTTTTTATTTTTTATTTAAATTAAAATGTTTTATTTTTTTTTTTTTTTTTTTTTTTTTTTTTTTTTATAATAAAAAAAATAATAATAATAAAATATATTATAAAAAAAAAAAAAAAATTATTAAAATAAAATATATTATTGTGTGGTTCGATATGAAATTTTTTTATTTTTTTTTTTTTGAAATATTATATGCCACAAACTTGATTCAATGAATTTTTTATAAAATTAAGAAAAAAAATATTTTATTATTGAATACACAAACCCAAAATTAATCAAATTAATATTCAAACCAAAATAAATTTTGCATTTCTTCCTCTAATTTTTTTTTTTTATAAAAAAAAAAAAAAAACATTTTTATCTCTCATAACTTTTGCAAAAAAAAAAAATTTAATACAAAAACATCTTTTATTTATTTATTATTAAAATATTTTCATCATTTCGATAAATTTATTAATAAATAATTATTTATAATTTTTTTGATTTATTTTCTAAATCAATAGTTTTTTTATTTTTTATTTTTTATTTTTTATTTTTTTTAAATAAAAAATTAAAATGCTAGCTTCAACATCAACATCCACAATATCATGTTTTTATAATGTAATTAATAATAATAAAAATTTATAAAATAAATATATATAATAAAAATTTATATTAATTATTTATATTAATTATTTATTTTTTTTATTTTTTTTTTTATCTGTATATTTAAATTCCAAAGTTGATCTTTTTTTTTAATTTTTAGATCCAAAATCGTTAAAGTTTAGGATTTTTTTGAATCCTTTTTTTCATTTTTCGATCCAAAAAAAAAATCCAAAAATCTCCAGGAAGAATGCTTTTGGATTCGATCCGATACTATACAATAAATCAGAAAGAATATTCAGTCAAACATCATCACACCCAAACCATCACTCATCAACACGTAAAACATTAATCAAGTCAAATAATATAAATAGTAATAATTTTAATAGTAATAGTTTCAATAGTAATAGTTTCAATAGTAATAGTTTCAATAGTAATAATAACAACTTTAATAATGTCAACTCCCGTAATAGTAATAGGTTCAATAGAAATAATAACAACTTTAATAATAAAATCAGTAAGAAATTTAAGCAACCACCTGCATTCATTAAATCTTTAGAACAAACAATTATAGGTTCAGATAATCATTCAACTCAAAATCCAAACAGTACACCGTCAACTCATAACCAAGTTTATCAGTCCACTCAAGATGGATCAATTATTCTCACTGCTGTGCAACAAGCTCAATTAAATACTTTGTTAAAGAAATATGTTCGTAATGTCAAAAGAATTTTATTCTCTCAAGGCCGTTTCAATTCGGTGCCGTCGAATTTCCAAAACCGTGGGGAAAATGTAGTATAACTACCCCCCGTCCCACCATATATACTGTTTTGATATCGCTATATTAACGCTATGGCCCTAGACTTATTAAGAGCCTAGTCACTAACTGCTATTTACTAACTACTGTTTAGTAACTACCAATTCCAGTATTTCCACCTACCTTAAGAATTAGCTTCTAGAACCAATCTCATTCAGTATAAATACCACAAGTCCTCAGTCTAAAACTTCAGAGGTTTTTTATTTTTTTTTATTCAATAAACTACAATTTCATTACACATATAATAATTGTTTATTTGTTGTTTATTTATATACTTAATCATTTGTAAGCTGTTTTTTGTATTCACGAATTTTTGACTTACCCTTTCAATAAGAATGGCACAAAGGTTAACACGACTTTTATTAATTTATTTTTAAAATTTTTTTTTTTTTGTAATTTAATTTTGATTATTTAATTTTAGTTATTTAATTTTTGTTGAGTAATTTTTGTTTAGTAATTTTTGTTTTTTAATTTTTATTTGTAATTCATCGATAAAGTTCTGTAGCTTTCCAGGTTTATCGGTATTTTCACTTTAAATATATATGAATTCCAAACTTCTCTAGCCTGTTGACTATCTTCATTGTGTGGTGTCGCTGACTAGCTGGATCATGGTGTTGAGGTTTCTTATATTTTCTGTTAATATTTTTGACTTCTCTTTCCCATGCTGCTGCGCAGATTAGCTTGAATCTCTTGAGTACTCTTACATTCTTAAGCTGTATAGAGCTTCATTACATAAATTTGTAATAAAGTGCACTATGCACAACTAAAACCAACATAGCAAAAGGTAAATTTCTTAATTTATACTATTAATTTGAGCTCCTACTTTTTATTTTCAAAGCTAATTTTTTTTTTGTATTAATTGCTGACCACGAATTTTTGACTTACCCTTTCAATAAGAATAGTGCAAAGGTTAACACGACTTTTATTAATTTATTTTTAAAAGAATTTTGATTATTTTTTTTAAAGCTAATAGGGTCATTAAAATACAAATGTAATGAATCCATAGTCTATATCTTTAAGTAAAAATGTATTTTATAACTGCTTTTTAATAACTGCCAATTCCAGTATTTTGTAACTGCTTTTTAATAATAACTACCAATGCCAGTATTTCAACTACTTAAGAATTAGCTTCTAGAACCAATCTCATTCAGTATAAATACATCAAGTCCTCAGTCTAAAACTTTAGAGTTTCTTAGTTAGTTTATTTTAGTTAGTTATATATATATGTTAAAACAAGTAATAAAGATAAATAATACATAAAGTATATTTCAGTGTTCTCATAATTGTTTTAAGTGTTTTTAAGTAATTTAAGTGTTTTAGTGTTTATTATTTAGTTTGTGTTAATATATTTTATTGCGTCTCCATAAGTGTTTATTTTAGAGTTTATAATATTTTCGTTAAGTATTTTAGTTATGTAACTTAGTCATAATCATATACCTTTTCATTACACAAATTTTGTGTATTAGGGGATGTAGCTCAGATGGTAGAGCGCTCGCTTAGCATGCGAGAGGTAAAGGGATCGATACCCTTCTTCTCCAATCCCGATTTTAGATCGGATTTATCTTTTGGGGGATATATTCCCGTTAAAATGTATTCTTCTTATGATCTTGCACATTTCTGACCATTCTTGCCTTATAGTCCTCTAAACCTCTTAAGATCTTTACCCATCTATTTTCTCTGTAAAGAACTTTATTAATCAATTGATCTAATTTATAATTATTAGATCCGCACCCTTGGTGATGTCACGGAAAATAAACTCTGCACTCCAACTGATTCTCTGAGCTCCATCTTGAGCTCATTCACAGTCTCAGTACTCATAGTTGACTTTTTCTTGGTAACTGATTCTTTTGGAACTGACTGGATCTTCAATCTGAGTTCCTCCATCATTTCCTTAAGAAGTTTTACTTTCCCAACTTCCCCATTGTACAAGTTAATTTGTTCATCACTTAGAGTTAATGCATTGTTGAGTTTGTCAGATAAATCTTTGACTTCTCGGTTAAGTCTTTTATTTTCTTCCAATAATTGACTGATGTATTGTTCTGCAGCATTAGGCTTAGAGGCAAGGTCCATTTCGACCTGAATCTACTTTCTCTTCTTTAATTGAATACATTTATAATTTCTTTGTAAATACTTTTTAAAACTCTCCTAATTTTATTTTTACTGGGCCCTAGTATCGTAAGTTATCTTGAAAAAAAAGGTGTAATGAAAATGAGCTTTTAAAGTTTTAATAAATAATAAACAATAAAAATAAAGATAATAAAATTATATGATTTTTGAGTTTTGTGAAAATTGAAAAAAAATGAAAAATTTTTATTTTTTTTTTTTTTATTTTTTTATTTTTTTAAATTTAATTGTTTTTGATTATTAAAATTATTAACTATAATTGATTGATTAAATGACAATTTAAGTTATAATTAATTAATTAAGTGAATTTTGATGATAATATATATTAAAGTTTTTTCAACTGAACTAAAAAAAAATAAAATAAAAAAATCGACATAAGATTAAAAAGCATTGTAAACCACTTGGTGATGATGAAGTTTAATTATGGGCCTGTTAAAAAATATATTTTTTTACAAAAAAAATAACAATGATTGGTATAGATATAGTACAAAATAGATTTAAAAAAAAAGAAGAAAAAAAAAATAAAAAAAAGATTTATAATTATAAATCTAAAGCCACACACAAAAACACAAATAATTATTAATTTTTATTTTTATTTTTTTATATTTATTTATTAAAATTAAAAAAAGACAATTAATTTAGGAAAAAAAAAAAAGATCAATTAATTTTGATTATTTAAATATTGTTATAGCAGTAGTATGTATAAATAATAATAATAATAAAAATAATACTATATAATCAATAGAAAACAAAAAAAAATTTTTTTCAAAATTTTTTTTTAATAAAAATTAAATTAAAAAAATATAATGGAAAAAGAACATAGAAAGAAAAAATCATTTGGAAATCTATTTGGGCATTCTAACAGTTCGCCCAATCTCAAATCATATTTGAAAGATGATGGGCCACAGAAAGAGGGTTTTGCTGATATACCAGAGAACGAGGAAATTTCAAGTAATCTTCACAAAGTTCAATCAACACCCACTTCACCACTTTCATCAACAAATAATATCATTAAATAGTAGTGGCAATTCAATTGGAGGCGGATCACCATCACCTTCATCATCATACCAAAACTCACCAATTATGAACAGTAAAAAGAAACCATCTAGATTAGCACAGGCATTTAAAAGAGTGAAACACAATAATAAATTAAAAAAAGAGATTGAGGAGTTGTCATCAAAGACTGGCCTTAATCTGCAATATACAAGATCGAATTTGCCATTTAATATAATACCAGATTCTTCGGTGGATGGTGGTGGTGGGGGTGCCCCATCGGGTCATAGTAGACAGGTTTATCAAAAGGTCAATATTTAATATTAAGATATTTATTTGAACTATTAAATTCGGTACATAACAACAGTGAGCATAATAGAATGAATTATCAAAATCTTGCAATTTGCTTTGCACCTTCATTAATTCAATCATTCGATACTTCATGTATCGATGTTATCGAAAGACTAATCGACCAATATGAGGCAATATTCTCAGTAGTTGTAGTTGTAGATAATAACAGTAATGGTGGCAGCATAGATTTATCATCCTCTCCAACAATATTAACCGAATCATTAGTGGATTCAAATAAAAGTGGTGATGATAATAGTAATAACTATCAAGTTGTATTGGACTCTTCTCAAGTGTTGGATCAGCTATATAGTAGTAATAGTGGCCATTTAAGAGCAAGCAACGGTATAAAGAAATCGCCATTACTAGGTTCAAGTAATCTTAGAAAGAGTGTAAGTCCAAAATTAAACAATAGAAAGAGTGTAAACTTTAATAAATTATAAATGAGGTTATACCACCACCAAATATGGATATTCAAGATAATGATGAGGAGGTCGAAGAAGATGCCGAAGTAGTATCAAGACCAAGAAAGAATACTAAAGCATTGTATTTATCAAGAGTAGGACGTAATAGACCCAACTCTTGGAATACTAATAAAAACAAGCACCAAAAAATCAACTTGGATCAACTCCAACTAAAAGATTGCACAGTGTTAACTCAATCGATTATAATAAACCGGCTGAACCATTCGATAGATCTGCAATTAATATTAATAAAGGATCACTAAATAAACAAATGACAATTATAAACCCATCGCCATCAACACCAGAAAGTGACTGTACTTCAATAGGCAGTGATGAAGATGAAGAATTAAAGATTATTAAACCACTCAGTAGATCCCCAAGTGTTAACAATTTAGTAGAGGAGGTAAACAAGTTAAATATGGACATCGAGTCAACCAATGTCAATTGTGGTGGTACAGTAGATAACAGCACCTATTATAGAGGAGATGATTCAACTACCACAGCACAGGGCACCCCAGTTCTTGCTACTCATTATTCAAATATTGAAAAACCAGTATATAACTATAATAGATTTCTACAACCTGCAAATAGATCTTTATCAAATCCAAATATTAAAAACTTTTCAGTTCCAGCAAGTTCTATAGCAATTAGCAATCATTCAAAATATAATAAAAGAAGTTTATTTTCGCCAGTTAGAAAGCAATCGATTGTTTCATCAAAAAAAAATACATTTTCTGGTACACCATCACCAGCATTTAATAGTAGTAACGACGGCATCAGTGATAGTGGCACCAATACTCCATCACTTTCGACTCAATCATCAAAAACTGATTTAACATCTTCAGTTAGCAGTATAAGTAGCAACATCAGTACAAGCAGCAACAGTAGTACAAGTAGTAGTATTAGCACAAGTAGTAATGTAGGCAAAAGTACCACAGGTAATAGCATTAGTACAAGCAGTAATATTGGAAAAAATGCTACTACCACTACCACTACCACCGTTAGTCATAATAAAACGCCATCTACATCATCAGCATCCTCAATTTCTTCAGGTGCAGCAACTACAATAAGTCCAATTAAAAAAGTTTCACATCAACACACAAACTCTTTATCATCAATACCACCATCAATAGTCGGTGGCAGTGGAAGTGCAGCATCATCTTCAACAAACAGTAACAGCAGTTCACCAAACCTTACATCATCAACACCCTCACCAGTTAGACCATCTTTGAACCACACAGTTTCAGCATCAACATTAATATCCAAATTTAATCAGTTTGAAAATAACAATAATCAATCACCCTCAACTGCGAATTGGAAAAGTGGAGTCCAAAAAAATAAACAAGCCCCTGTAAAAAAATCGGTTTCTATATTTGAAAAGAAATCATAACCCAATATAACAAATTAAACAAATAAATGGCCTTTCTACTACACACACCCATTAACTGTTTTTAATAATAAAATTATTAATGTATTTTTATAAAACCTTGAAAAAAAATGTATTTTTAAAAATAAATAAATAAAAAATAAACAATAAAAATAAATTTTTTTTTTTTATTTAATTAAATATTTTCTATGTTTCAACAGTTTCTAAAAAGTTTTGAAAATTATGATTTAAATCTTTTAGATAGAGAGTCTGTTATTGGATTTTCATATGACTTAGGAAGCTTTAGATAATGGAAATTGATTAATATTGAAATCGGAGGTGATTAAATTAATAGTTTTGATAATTCATTCAATGTTTATTTTTAAGAAATAGGTGAAGACCAAATTATTAATTAAATCTTTTCATTCAATTATTAAATCGATGAAATTAAAAAAAGTAAACTTCGTCAATCCAAGAAACAATCCATCTTCACCAACATTAATAATAGAAATTAAGCATCACATTAATTCAACTTTACAGAAACAATTCTAGATGTTCCAAGTCAGCTTTATAGCAAAATAACTCTTAAGGTAACTATATTTATTATATTTAAACAATTATTTTTATACTTGAATTTAAAAGAAACTAATATTTAATTTTTATAATTTTAGTTAAAGTTTTTCTTTTCGGGATCAATACGTTTCATTCACAATTCAAACATTGGGTTCTTGTCTATTCTTTCTTTTTAAGTGCCAACATAATTTAAGTCGCATATCAAACGTTGGGTTCTTGTCTATTCTTTCTTATTAAGTGCCAACATAATTTAAGTCGCAAATCAAATATTGGGTTCTTGTTTATTCTTTCTTTTTAAGTGCCAACATAATTTAAGTCGCAAATCAAAAATTGGGCTCTTGTTTATTCTTTCTATATCGGTATCGTCGCAGCTAAGTCACAAATTAAATAGTGGGTTCTTGTCTATTCTTTCTTTTAAGTGCCAACATAATTTAAGCGCAAATCTAACATTGGGTTCATGTTTATTCTTTCTATATCGGTATCATCGCAGCTAAGTCACAAATTAAATATTGGGGTTATTGTTATTCTTTCTTTTAAGTGCCATCGCAGCTAAGTCACACGTCAAATATTGGGGTTTTTATTCTTTATTTTTCAATGTCAACTCTAATATTATTATAATTACTATATAGTAATATTATAAGAAATAATGAATAATAGTGATATTGTAAAAGGTGCATTAACAACCGGTAATGAACCACCAACAACCATTTCAATCGAATCTAATGGCAATGAAATTTCAGATGAATATTTAGAAAAAGAGTTTCAAGAAAATACTAAAGATGGTCCAATTTACGACTTATTAAAAAATATTAAAATAAAAAAATATAGTTATTATATTTTCAACAACAACAAAATACAGAATTTGATAATTTAAAAAACCAACAGGAACAAATTCAAAATATTATTTCACAATACCACCCACTAAGTCCCTCAAAAGCAAATCTTCTTAATAAAATTCAAGAAAATGAAAACCAATCGACTGGTGGTGCTTCTGATTAATTAATAAAATTTAAGATAATTTAATAAAAAAAACTTTTTTATATTATAATATATTACATAATATTTATTTTATTTTATTTTATTTTTTGATTACATTTTTCCATTCTCAAAAAAATCATTAAATTCATGATTTTGTATGATTTTCTTTACAAAGATTAAAAGAGTAGACAAACAATAATAATCATTTCATGAAGAGCTATTTTTAATAAAAAGGAAAACGGTAAAAAATAAACATATTTATAAAAAAAAAAATTTATTATATTTTATTTAAAAATTTAATGATGTTTCAGTTAAAATCATTTGATGTTCCAATATATTTTCCTGGCCAGGGAAAATGTATTTCTTCCATCAAATAGATTGAACAATGATATTTTCTGTTACTTTTTTTTTTTTTTTTTTTTTTTTTTTATAAAATTATTAATTATTATTAACTAAAAGTTCTTTTTCTAAAGCTTTAGGGTTGATGATGAAGAATCCTGATAATGATGGTGAGGGGAAAACTTTGATGATGATGATGAATGCTGACGATGATGCTGATGATTATGAGGACCAAGATGAATGCTGATGATGATGCTGATGATGAGGACCCAAGATGAATGCTGATGATGAGGGACCAAGATGAATGCTGATGATGAATGCTGATGATGGTGATGGTGATGGTGATGATGATGATAATGAGGACCAATATGAATGTTGATGAAGATGCTGATGAGGACCAAGATGAATGCTGATGATGATGAGGACAAAGATGAATTCTAATGATGATGATAATGCTGAGGACCAAGACGAATGATGATGATGATGAGGACCAAGATGAATGCTGATGGTGATAATGCTTAGGAACAAGACGAATGCCGGTGAGGATGCTAATGATGATGAGGACCAAGATGAATGCTGATAATGATGATGATGCTGATGATGATGATAATGCTGATGATGATGAGGACCAAGATGAATGCTGATAATGATGATGAATGCTGAATGATGATGATGAGGGACAGGATGAATGATGATGAATGCTGATGATGAATGCTGAAAGCTGATGAAGGGTAAACAATGCTGAGCTGATTATTATGATGAGGGCAAACAATAATGATGCTGATGATGATGTAGGTGAAAACAATAATGATGGAGGAATTTAATTACTTATTATGAATTTTAACTTATAATTGATAATAATTAAATTGAACTATTTATACTATTGAATTGTTAAATATTAATTTAATTATTATGATTGGTAATTATGATTATTGACTAGTGTAAATTGATATTATATTAATGACGATGATGATTAAACTGAACTATTTATACTTTTAAATTGATATTATTATTAATGATGATAATAATTAAATTGAACTATTTATACTTTGAATTGTTAAATATTAATTTAATTATTATAAATGGTGTATATTGATATTATTATTAATGATGATAATTAAATTGAACTATTTATACTTTTAAATTGTTAAATATTAATTTAATTACTATAATTGGTCTTTATGATTATTGATTAGTGTAAATTGATATTAATATTAGACTACTATAATTTTAATTGCTATTATTGATAATTGATTAATTAATTGAAAAGGTGATTGCCAATTACATATTGTGATGTAAAGGTGATTATGTAGTTTATGAGATGGGTAATAAGAGATAAGATGGAAAATAGGTGACCATAAATATTAATATCCCCGACTGGGGCAGAACTGGAATCAAAGAGGTTACGGAATACAATTTGAGCATAGCTTGAAATTGAACTATTTATACTTTTGAATTGTTTAATATTAATTTAATTACTATAATTGGTGTATATGATATTATTATTAATGATGATAATTAAATTGAACTATTTATACTTTTAAATTGTTAAATATTAATTTAATTACTATAATTGGTCATTATGATTATTGACTAGTGTAAATTGATATTATTATTAATGATGATAATTAAATTGAACTATTTATACTTTAAATTGTTAAATATTAATTTAATTACTATAATTGGTCTTTATGATTATTGACTAATGTATATTGATATTATTATTAATGATGATAATTAAATTGAACTATTTATACTTTTAAATTGTTAAATATTAATTTAATTATTATAAATGGTGTATATTTATATTATTATTAATGATGATGATAATTAAATTGAAATATTTATACTTTTAAATTGTTAAATATTAATTTAATTACTATAATTGGTCATTATAACTATTGACTAGTGTAAATTGATATTATTAATGATGATGATAATTAAATTGAACTATTTATACTTTTGAATTGTTAAATATTAATTTAATTACTATAATTGGTCATTATAACTATTGACTAGTGTAAATTGATATTATTATTAATGATGATAATTAAATTGAACTATTTATACTTTAAATTGTTAAATATTAATTTAATTACTATAATTGGTCTTTATGATTATTGACTAATGTATATTGATATTATTATTAATGATGATAATTAAATTGAACTATTTATACTTTTAAATTGTTAAATATTAATTTAATTATTATAAATGGTGTATATTTATATTATTATTAATGATGATGATAATTAAATTGAAATATTTATACTTTTAAATTGTTAAATATTAATTTAATTACTATAATTGGTCATTATAACTATTGACTAGTGTAAATTGATATTATTAATGATGATGATAATTAAATTGAACTATTTATACTTTTGAATTGTTAAATATTAATTTAATTACTATAATTGGTCATTATAACTATTGACTAGTGTAAATTGATATTATTATTAATGATGATAATTAAATTGAACTATTTATACTTTAAATTGTTAAATATTAATTTAATTACTATAATTGGTCTTTATGATTATTGACTAATGTATATTGATATTATTATTAATGATGATAATTAAATTGAACTATTTATACTTTTGAATTGTTAAATATTAATTTAATTATTATAAATGGTGTAATTGATATTATTATTAATGATGATGATAATTAAATTGAAATATTTATACTTTTAAATTGTTAAATATTAATTTAATTACTATAATTGGTCATTATAACTATTGACTAGTGTAAATTGACATTATTATTAATTAGACTATGATAGTTTTAATTGATATTATCTTGATTGATTATTGATTAATAATTTGAAAAGGTGATTGCCATTTACATATTGTGATTTAAAGGTGATTATGTAGTTTATGAGATGGGTAATAAGAGATAGGATGGGTAATAGGTGACCATAAATACTATTAATATCGTTGTCTGGAGCAGAATAGGAATCAAAGAGGTTACAGAATACAATTTGAGATTAGCTTGAATGATTTCCAAAGAGAACGGTTATAGATGGTTCAACAAAAAAGACTGAGACTAGATGAAGGTGGACATTAGTTTTTGGTGTATCGGTGTTAATATTGACAATCGGCTCTTGATGATGATGGTGATGATGAGGAGCAAACAATGATGCTGAAAAAAAAAAAAATTTTAATAAAAAAATTTTAATAAAAAAATTTTAATAAAAAAATTTTAATAAATTTTAATAAAAAAATTTTAATAAAAAAATTTTAATAAAAAAATTTTTAATAAAAAAAAGAAAAAAATAAAATTTAATTAAAAAAAAATAAAATTTTATTAAAAAATGAAATTTACCACACTCACTAAATTTCTACCAAGGAATAAGAGATTGCGAACATCATTTTTAAAAATTAAAATAATAATAATTTTTAACTAATATTGCCACTATAGATTTTATAATAGTTTTTATTATTAAATTTAAAAACTCCACTTAAGGAAAGTATAATAACTATATTTTTTTATTTTAATATTCATTCCTTGAGAAACTATAATTGTTCAATTTTATTATTCAAATAATATTATAAGAAATATTAGATAATGGTTTCATTATGGGGCAGAGGCAACAAAAAATTTCTTATCATCAATAATTTATGAAGAAGTAGAACTGTTCAATAAACCTCAATGCATTATCAAAAGGAACAATCAATCTAATTATTTAGATATGGAAATAAGAGATAATAAAATGGGAAATAAATTATTCATAATTCGTGAATAAATCTTTCTTAATAAATAAAAAATAAACAAATACACTAGCGTACATTTATATTTATAATTATATTAACTCTTTACTCATTTATTTATTTATTTATTTATTTTAAAACCAAAATTTTATTATTTTATTTATTTATTATTTTTTTTTATTTTTTTTAAGTGAAGATTTTTAAAGCAAATGCTTTAAATTAACCGGTTATGTTCATAATACAAAACCACCAGATAACTTTATAATTTTACAATTCGAGAGAATTATTCTCTTATTTTTTTTTTAATTCCACATAAAAACTTTTTTTTAAAAAATTTTAAAATTTCCACTAAAAATAAAATTTAAAATTATTTCTTAAAAAAATTTTTTAATAAAAAAAACTATAAAATGATGGATTCTCGATGCTGTTATTTCATTAATTAACAAACTAAAAAATAAACAAAATAAATATATACTTAATATTAATAATATTTTAAATTTATAAAATAAATAAAAAAAACTATATTAAATCAAAAATGGTTAGAATTATTACTAGAAGATCAAGTCACTTACAAAAAAGAAATAGAGTTCAATTATGCAATTTAAACCAAGTTCTTTATGGTTCATCAAATTGTAGAAAAACATCAAATAATATGAATATTAGAAAAAAGGTTTTAAAATCCAAAGATATTCCAAAAATTAAAAAAGAGCCAAATGTAACCACATTAATTCCTACTAAAATTGCTATCATTACACGTTCAAGTAAAATAAATCCAATTTTAAACAACTTTAATTACAATGTCAAAGAAGAACCACAAACAAATAACTGCGGTGATAATAATACATCATCGGTATCCTCACAAAAGCCAAAACCAAAATCAAAGCCAATCATCACCAAAATCTCTATTGTAACACGTTCAAATATTAAAAAAAATAGAGAATTTATTAAAAACTATAATAAATTATTTAAAATATAATACATAATAATATAATAATATAATAATATAATAATAATAATAAATAAAATGTAAATAAATATCTTTGTAAATAGAAATTATATATAATAATTAGTTTTAAGACACAAATCAAGCATTGGGGTATTAGTTTATTCTTTGTAATAAGGTTTTTAAATAGGTCCATTTAAACCCAAATTCAAACGCCTACAAGCAATCAATACATTTCATTAAAAAATATCGATACTAAAGTAAGCAAGAATGAAATGGTAAAAGAAGCTTTCTTAGCTGCTGTTCCAAATAAGAAAATTGTTTTTGTAGCTGCTGATGAAAAATTACCATCATACTGGCAATATTCATTCGCTGATGGAAACTGTGTCGTCTCATTCCGTCCAAAAATCTGCAACACTAATGATGTATTTACTGCTAAATTAGAAACTCTTCTTCCATCACAAGGCACCTACTCTTTAATGACTCGTTTGAATATTAAAGAAAACCAAGCTAAAATGGATGCCAATTTAGCAGCTGTTAAAAAAGCTATGAAATCAGATGCTGATTGGACCATTGATCAATCATCATTAGAAGCCGTTTATCCACATGTTGCTGATGATTTAAAAAATAGTTTTGGTCATATTTTTGCAGGTGTTGTCGAAAAAGTTGCAGCCAATCTCGCTAAACGTTGTGCTGATGAAATGGTATTAGAAGCTGTACAAGAAGCCACCTCAAATCGTACTATTGTTATTAAGCACAATGCTACTCAAAATGGATATTGGTTATGGTCATTTGAATCCGGTAATTTAGTTATTTCATTCAAATCAATTACCAATACCAATGATGTTCAAACTTTCGATTTCATTAAATTATTATAATAATAAAATATTAATTATAGTGTTTGAACTTTTTTTTGGCTTTAGTAAACCAAAAATAAACATATAAATAAATTAAAACAAATAGTTAAATAATATTTTTTCTTTTTTTTATGAGGTTCTAGTATGATATTAAAATAGATTGATTATTTTGGAATATACTTTTTAATTTCTATTTCTTTTTTTTCATTATACAAATGTGATGTTTTGTATTTCGTTAAATAGATATTTTATTATGTTTTTTTTAAAAAAGATTTATAATTTTATATAAATTTTTAATTTTTTTAAATTATTCTGCAATATGACCCTATTTTTTTTTTTAAAAATTTTTAATTTTTTTTATTTTCCTTTCAAAAACCATATAAATAAGATAGGTATAATATCAAAAGAAAGTTTTTTTTTTTAATTATTGATATTAAATTAATTTTGTTAAAAGAAATAATTTAAATCCCACTTATGGAGAATTTATTTTTTATTTACTATTTTAATTTTATATATACATTTTTTTTCTTTATTTTATTTTTTAATTTAAATCTTCATTTGAGCTACCCTCGGAGTGAGTATCAGAATTACTTGAATTATAAAAATACTCCATGACATCTTCCCCAATTTGTAACATATAGTAGTCGATTCGATTATAATATTTACAATTTTTATCAAAGTAATATTTGAATAAAAAGTCGCATCTTTTCTCTAAATATTGCAAGTAGGTATCGTAATTTTCGTGATGAGCACCATTTTCATTTTTTAAAGAAATTAAGTTATTGAGGCACATGTAATCTTCTTTGATAAGGAAGGATTGGTTCATTTTTTCTTTTAAAAGAAATAATTTATTGATTTTGACCATTTCCATTGTTTCTTTGCTATTTTAAAAAAAAAAGATAGAATTTTTCTAAATCTAATAAAAAGTTAATAGTTTTTTTTTTAATTTAATAAATCTTTTAAATTTAAAAGTATTTTGTTTTCTTTCTACTGAAAAATTCTTTACTATTTATTCAAATCAAAAACAAAAAAAAAAAAAAAAAAAAAAAATAATTTTTAAATTATTAAATTATTTAATTTTCATTAACCATATTGGGTTTTGTGTGTTTTTTTTTAAAATAAAAAAAACTTAGTTGTTTTTTTTTTTTTGGATATCAATAACCCATTTAATAACTACCACTAATCAAAACACACTAAAAAATTTATACATTTCTGCACACCCACACTTATACTTTTTTTAAACCTTTTTTTTTTCAAATTAAAATAGTAAAAAAAAAAAAATTAAAAACAATAAAAATTAAAACACAGCAACAAATTTTTTTTCTCCATCACCATATAAATCTTAAGCTACTATAAAAATAGAAATAAACGTTTATTTTTATGTAGTGTTAAATATTGATTAAGCTTTTTAACATAATTAATATTAGGGGTGAATAACCAAAACTCTTTAAAGTATAAATTAAATAATATAAAAAGAAAAACAAAAAAAAGAAAAAAATAATTTGAATTTTTTTTTTATTTATTTTTATTCACATTTTTAATTAATGAAATTAAAAAAAATAAATTATTATTATTTTTATTATTACTGTTTTTATTTTTTAATTATTAATTATTATTATTATTTATAATTATAATTATAATTATATTTTATTAAATTATTTTATTTATTATTTATGAGAAAAAAAATTTACAATGAATTTTTTATATATATATTATTTTAAATTGAACTATTTGATGAATAATTTTTTGATTGATTTGTTGAGGTTGAATAGAAATTTGAATCTGTCACAGTTGAATTTTTATGTTTTGAGAAATTTTCTTTATTTGGAGTGACATAGCTTAAATTAACAGTGTTGGTAGATTGTTTAAGACCACTGAAATGACCTTGGTTATAACAGTAAAAGATTGAAAGAGATGGAATAATTTCGGTTATAATTAAACCAAGGAAACTAAATACAATATTTGATGGATTGGCACCTACTAAAATCAAAACGAAAACACAGTGTATAACAAAGCCAATACTACAGGTAAAGGTAACAATAAATATTTTCTTTTGGTGTTGATTCGAATTAGAGTCTGGGCCACCTTGATTTGATTTAACTTGTCTCATTGATCTAAATAATGTACCACCTAAATAAATAAAAGCTGCACCAATTACTAATGAGATTAAAGCTTGAATGACTGCATATACAATACTAACAACACGTTGGGCGGTAGTACTTGATACATCAATTACAATTCTTGAGCCACAATCATTTCGTGGGTTATCTTCGGTATAATTAAATACCAAGACAATTATAATAAATAAAAGATATAATACTACATTGGTCCACAAAATGATTGCTTTCAATCTCTTTAATAAAGTTTTTCCTGAATCTTTGGAGCTAACAATCATATACCATAATGAAATAATAATTGTAAAAGCTGTAAAATAAATAAATGTTGGTAATACAACTAAAACATAATCACCAACTGAATTATTTTGTAAAACACCGGATGGGATAATAAAGAAATAAATGGTTCTGACTATAATTTTAAAAAAAAATAAAAAAATTAAATATTAATATATGTAAATATAAAAACATAATTTAAATAGAAGTACTTACCCAAAATAAATAATGTTACAATTAAAATTAAAAAGTGTACCAATCTAATTTGTTCAATACCTTTATACTTTTTAACAAATACCATGGTAATTTGGAATATGCCCCATAGCGAGGTTAATAAGAAAATAACAGCCAATGTATAAATAAGACCTTGAGCTGTTTTATCAAAATATTCTTTACTTTCATCTATATAGCTTTCGAAACGAATAATTGGGAAGAATGATTTATCCTCAGTGAAATTTGTTATGTTACCACAAAGTAATCGAACACCATCTGTTGTTAAAACTGTAAAGGTTTCTAACTCCATTGGTCTTAGAGGTGTTGAAGAAGATGCCATTGCAAAATCATAAACTTTGTATTCATTTGAATATTTGGTACCATTATATTGAAGGCAAATTGATAGAATTGAAACACCTTGTGTATTAATTGTAACACCATCCCCTAAAATTGTACCAATAATAGCGTTTTGATCGTTCATTACACCATAATTATTTGGTTTTTTATAAGATACAAAATTTGATGAAAGAGTTTGAGCAGTAGTTGATTTATAAAGTTGTTGTGAAACTTGTGAAACCAATACTGAAGTACAACCTAATTGAACTGAATTGCCATAGAATAAAAGTTCACCATAAGAGAATGAATAAGTGGAGTTTTCACCTGAGCATGGTTTAGTTTGACCCAAAAGTAGGGATGATGAAGAGAAACATTCTGGTGAACCATAATCTGAGCAACTGCAACTAATTGAACGAAGGTTACCTTCTACACGCTCCATTCTACATAGTACTTCTGAACGATAAAGATCGGCAATATGAGTATTTACAGAGTTTCCCAATTTTGCAAAAAGATATTGATAATCTAAAACATTCTTTACCACACCAGATTTAATGTATTTATTTTCTCTCCATTGTGCTTTAACAGGTATACCTTGCTGCCAAACACCACCTGTCCATTTGAATAAATTTTCCCACGAATTAAATGAATCTTGACCACAGCCTGAGCATTCCTCCTCAGTCATATTATTAAATCTAAAATTGTATGGAAGATTATAAGTTGAAGTATCTAAAATTTTACAACCCTTCTTAGCTTCACATGTTTCTTGTGTCTTAGCTGGTGACCACCAACTATAACCCAATTCTTGGTTTTCTGGTGTTAGACATGTAGATTTTCTGTAAAATTGTGGATAGTAAGAGAAGCAACCCATTGGTGAATCTTTTTGAGCATAACAATCGCAACTTGGAATAAAGAAACCACTCTTATAAACAAAATGACCTCTAACACATTTTCCTAGATTAAGTGGGTATTCTGGTGTATTTTCTGGATTAAAGAAATATGAGTCACTACATGAACCTGCTTTTTCACATTGAGCCTTGGTCGTGCATTTAATATCTTGTAAATGGCATGTTCCATAAGCCACATCATAACACTCATCATTTGGCAATGATTCACAGTCAGTCCAAATGTAAAACATTGAGGATTCTGGTTTGTTGCCTGCTTTGCATGCAGCTTCAGTTTTAGTGGTGTTCATATAACATATCTCAAGAGTACTATTCCAAATGGCCCCAGTTATAGCAGTACACGCAGCTTGGTCGAAATATACTGGGTAATCTTCAGAGTCTTTACCAAGAATTGCACAATATTTGAAACCATTACCGACACATTTCCTATCACATGGAACACTACATTCACCTTTGGCTTCACAAGCAGTGGCAGTAATACCAAATTGATATTCGCCATTTGGTAAAAGACAAGCATCTTTATTTTGACATGTTGTTTTTGTAGTGGCCTCCTTGAAATAAAAACAATCTGAAGAGTTACTTGAACAATAACCACAATATTCTGTATGAAGGTTACAGGCATCTTCACATTGAACACTGCTTTCTGGAACTCCATTGCAGAATTCCCCTACTGGACAAAAACCAAAATCAGCACAAGTATCTAGAGAATCTGATTTTTCCATAAACCAATTACCAACTTGGCCATCAAAACAAACATCGTGAGTAGTTTGGCAAGAAAGATCCAAACAATCTTTGGTTGCATAACAGGTAAAATCTCTGTCTTGGCTAACATCTCCAGAGTAATAAGAATAGGTTGAACGATAGCTGAAACCAGAAACATAGGTACAATCTTCCATTGATGCAACATTTAAAATATCTTCTATCATTGTTTCATTATATTGTAAACCATGTGCATTTAAAAAGGTATAAGTATAAACAGCTGGTAGTCTATCGAAAACACAACTTAAATAGATAAGATCCAATTGTTCCGGTGGTACCATACAAGTTCTTGTAAAAAGCTCGCAAACCGTATCACTTCCATACTCTGAGCAATCTGAATCTTGAGTACATTTCTTTAATTTAATGTTTTCTTTACATTCTCTTAAGATAATTCTCATTTCTAAGGCAGATTTGGTTGAAACAAAGGCAGGTACATCACATTCACCAACAACTGATAAACTAGAATAATATTCTCTTAATACTGATTCTGTGCAGTCTGTACTAAAGCACTGATCACTAATTAGGTCTTTATGTACATCGATAAATTCTGATACATTTACTTGGATATTCTTGGGTTGGCAACATTGGAAAAATGAAAGAGTAACATTACAGCATGGATCCAAATCATATTCTGGGTCAGTTGGGGAATAGGAACAAATTGATAAACTTTTATTGACTAATTTATCAGTGGTTTGTAAGTAACTATTAGCTCTTTGGCTACAGGCTGTCCATGAATTTGAAAGAGTTAATGTATCAATACTAAAAATAATTGAATTTACTACACCAAAATCTGTATTATTATAAAGCATTCCCTCCTCTTGATCCATTTTCTCTAAAACTTTATTAAACTCCATATGGTCGCATGTTAAATTTTTTAATGTAAAACTGAATATACCTTCCAATGGCTAAAATTGATTAAAATTAATTTTTATTTTAGAAAAAAATTAATAAATAAAAAAATAACTTACCTCGCCATGTTCATCGACTAAAACACTTAAAAATTCAATTGATGAATTTACCAGATCGTTAAACTCTTTATTTAATTGTTGGAAATCACCTTCTGTAGTTGATAATAAAAATGCTGAAGAATAGTGTGATGAGGCAGGAACATTATCTTCGCTATAAAAAGTTATTTGATTGAATCTATAATCATCTGCAAAGTTGGTTGGAATTGGCCAAACTGGGAAACTCTCTTGAAATGGGAATAAAATAGTAAAATATACACAAAGAAACCAAAAATTACATCTATAAATACTATTATTTGGTAAAATTAATCTAGATGAACCTAAAAGTGCAAATGCTCCACCTCTTGGAAAATTTTCATAAATTGGTACCAATTCTTGATATCCTAAACTTGTAACTGTAAATGTAAATTCTGATGCATAAAATGCTGTAACACCAATATACAATACTTTTGGTGTACCATCACTATTTGGTTTTAAAGATAAAGTTATATAATCATCATCTAAAATTAAAATAAAATATTAGGATGCTATTTTTATAAACCATTTTAACTATTATAAATTTTTGCTTATTTTAATTATAAAATTATAAAATTATTCTTATATAGTTGTTTTATACTTTACTTTCATTTGAACAATCCCATTTTGCAGAGCTATCATAATCTGGATACATAATACTTGGACTATCAGAAATAAAGAAATCTATATCTTGGCTGATTGATGGTGCTGAAAATGAATAAATTGCTGCTTTTTCGACAAGAAAAGTATAAAAAAATTTTTCACCATCAACAATTGCTTTATTAGAAACTGGTATACCATCAACAATACATTCGTGATCAATTGTTATATTTGCACAAGTTTGGGTGGGTAAATCTGAAACTGGTGGAATTTCTATAGTATTTTTAAAATAATAATTTGAAAATTAGTAAAAAATGATTTGTTAAATTTTATATTAAAATATAATTATGACCACACCTTTTGAAATGATTGTTATATTAATGTCTATAAAAGAGGAGTCTGGTACAATTGTTATAAAATAAGTATCAAGATTCCAAACATCAAGATTTTGATTATCATCACCTAATTTGCCATTATCAGATGGGCAAAAAGCTGGTTGAATAAATGAATCTGGATTAACATTGGGTGTGATTCTACCTGAAATAGCTTCTAAATTTGTTATAATCATATGAAATCTTCCTTGATTTTGAGATGCCTCAATTCTAAGACCTTCGCAAATAGTTGAATTTGATTTATAACGAAGATAAATGACATCACTAGATTGAAAATTGGTTGGTTTGTTACCTTCGATTTGTGTCCATTCATAATCTTCACATATATTATAACCTTGACTGGTTGTAGTATTACATACTCTGTTGCATGATGGATCCAATTCTTTTCCACATTTATTTGGGTCTGCATAATCGCATGAACAGTCAATACCATTAACTATTGGTAATTGACAATCGTAGTTTCCACATGGTACATTTCTAACCCTGTAAACTTCTCTATCAAACTCCAAATCCATTAAAGCATAATCAAACTCCACACCTAAAACATTTGTATTTTTTTCAATAATTGTGCTTGATTTTATATTGAATGCATTTATGCCTAAAATTAAAAAAAATAATAAAAAAAAAAATTAATAGTGTAAACATTTATGTTGTTGAATATTCCACTCCATAGCCTATCTTACAATTTAGTAAATATATAAACACTATTAATAATACATTTTTATTTATTTTCATTTTTTTATCTAAAAAAAAAAAAAAAAAAAAAAAGAAATAAAATATAAATTTTTTTGAAAAAATAAAAAAAAAAATATTGTATATAAAATAAAAAAACAAAATAAAAAATTCGTGTAATCCTATTAATATCTTTTTTATAACTGTAAAAAATAAAAAAAAAAAAAAAAAAATAAAAAATAAAAAAAAAAAGTTTTATAAAAATTAAAAAAAAATATCTTTGGAAATTTTTAGTTTGTATAAATGAATAATTTTATTTTGTTTAACGAAAAACGCATTTTAAATTAAAAAATAAACCAAAAAAATAAATAAAATAAAAAATTGTTTTATTTTAAAAATTGGATAAAATTTTATCCAATTTTTAAAATGGGTCGAATAGTCCTCTTGTTTTTTGTTTGGATTTTATTACTTTTATGTGCAATAAAAAATTTTTCATTTATACTTACATTGCGAAAAAATTAATGGTAATTATAAAATTGAAAAAAATTTTAAGATATTTTAAAATATCTTTAATCCAAAATTTATTAAACGTATTTAACCCATTATTTTCAAATATTTTTTTATTTTAAACTTTTCTAATATATTTATTAAAACATAATTTAATTACTAAAAAATGAATAAATAAATAACATATTTTAAATGTTTTTTTTTTATTTTTTTATTTTAATACAAAATTATACATTAATTGAATTGAATTGGGTTTTTTTGTAAAAATTGGTCAAATGTGGTTAAAGTTGTTAATTCTTTACCTAAATCTTTGTTTAACTTGTCAAAGGCACCAAATTCGTTGTAATAAGCAAACATTTCAGCCATTTCAGAGGCACCTGGGAATGGGGCTTTAGCAAAAATATCAGTTGGGACATAGTTGAATTTAACTGGTTTGCCAGAATTTTTGGAAATAGCTTGGGCAATTTCATCACCAGTAAGAGCTGAGCCAGAAAATGGAACACTTAATCCAGCATATTTGGTTGGATTAGAGAAAATACCTTTTACAATTGGACCAATATCATCAATATCGGCCATATCTAATGGGAATTTGGAACTTGGATCGACTGGGAGTGATAAAGAGTATTCATTATCAGCACCTTTTTGAACTTTGAAAAAGGTATTAAAGTTTTGCATATAGAATGGAGCATAGACAAATGATGATTTAAACTCTGGGTGTTTCTTTGAAAGTTCTCTAGCATACTCTTCGACAGCATTCTTTTCATCAAAATGTGGGACGTGGTAACGTCCTCCAGAGATTTTGTTAGCTGGGGCAAGACTACTAAAAACAAGATGACCAATTTTGGCTGCTAAAGCTGCATCGACTGCTTTTTTACCAACTTCAGATTCTTTGCCCATATAGTTCCAGAATACTGTAACTAAATAAAGACCATCACTGCCAGCAATAGCTTTTTCAATGGCTTCTTTTGAGTCGGTACCAATATCACACTTTACAATTTCAGCACCAAGAGAACCTAACTCTTTTGATTGTTCAGAGTCTGGATTTCTTAAAAGGGCACGAACTTTAAAATTACCTGCATTTAATAATGACTTGATGACTGAACCACCTTGTGAACGAGTAGCAATAACTGAAATAAGTTTCTTTTGTGACATTTTTTTTAATTTGAAAGTTTTTTAATAATTGAATAAAAAATAAAATAAAAGTAAAAAATTATATATATTAAAAATTAGTATTTGTTGTTTGAAATATAAAAAAAAAAAAAAAAAATTTATTTTTATAGTTTTTTTTAAAATAAAAAATAATATTTTTGGTACACGTTAAAAAAAAAACAAAGATTCATTAAATAATTATTAGTTTTAAAAAAAACCAAATTATGGTTCTATTTCTGTCCCATACTTACTTTTAGCTATTTTTATTTTTTGTTTTTTTCACTTCCCATATTAAAAAAAAAATCCCCTTACCAAAAAAATATTGAAATTTGGTTTCCAAATTTTTTTTTTTTTTTTTTTTTTTTTTTTTTTTTTTTTTATTTATTTATTTTTTTTAATTTTTTTAATTTTTTTAACTTTTTTATTTTTTAATATTACCACAGAAATTTAATAATAAATTCTTAAAATGACCTACATTTACGTTTAAAAAAAATCTAAGAGTAATTGAGGAAGTATTTTTTCTAAATGTGATAAATTAAGTTCCTCTCCGTCCATTGCAATTTGATGCATTCTCGATATAGCTTCATTAATTAAACAATCCAAAAGATCACATGTTAATAAAATTGAATCTTCGGAAACTGCAAATAATAAAAAATAATTAGTAAAATATTATTTTATTTGTGTGTTTGTGAGTGTGTTTTGGTTTTTACACTTTATTTTTTCATTTTTCCTTATTGTGGATTTTAAAAGGGCGCCTATTTCTTTCTAATAAAATTAATTAATAAAAAAAATAAAAATAAAAATAAAAAATAAAAAATAAAAGACAAAAAAGGTAATTTACTTACTGGTTGAATTTTCATTATAAATATAAAACAATAAACAAATATACAAATAAAACAAACTTATAAAAAAAAAAATTTTAAAAAAACAAATTTTTTTTTTTTCAAACAAAACCAAAATTTTTTTTTCACAATTTTAATATTTTTAATTTTAAAAATTCAAATTTATGATTATTAACAAACCTTTAAATAATAAATAATAAATAATAAATAATAAATAATAAATAATAAACAAATTAATCATAATAATAAATAATAAATAATAAATAATAAATGATAAATAATAAATAATAAATAAATAATAAATAATAAATAATAAATAATAAATAATAAATAATAAATAATAAATAATAAATATTGAAACTTTAAAATAATAAATGTCACAAAATAGTTCAGAATCAAATTTAACAGAAAAGGAAATAGATGAAGAAATTAGCCAATTCATTGAAGATAATATCGAATTAACTTACAAGGGTATAACTGCTATTATAAGCAATGACCCAATTTTAAAGAAAAAGGTAAAAGCATATTGTGCACATAGAGGTGCAATGTTACCTTGGTCCACTTTAGATGAAGTATCAACAAGAGCCATAGAAATATATTTATCAGACAAAAAAACCTCAGAACCAAATATACCTATAAGAAGAACAAGAGCAAATAAAAACTTAATTTTTATAGATAGCGATAGTGACAAAGATGATTCTATTGGAATCGATAGTGACGAAAATCAATATAAAAGGAAAAATATTACATTTTATAAAAAAAAAAATGTAGTTGAAAATTTAGAAACAAAAATAAAATTTGAAGAAGTTTGCCTTGAAAATATAGAACAAGTTACATTGTTTTATAATCAAAATGTATATACCAACCCCAATTTTATATATTCATTGTATCAAGCCATTTGCAAACATCCATTTTATAGCCATTTAAGATTAGCCCCTCAGTCCATTAGTACCTGTTAGAACAACATCTCG